TACTTTTTCGAACGATCGAATCAATCAAAGCGCGCCCGCGGCATATTCAAACAGCCTGCAGATATTTTCATATCAGCAGACTGACTTTTCACCCACCTGTCACAGATTTTCCCTCGCCCGTTCGGTTTTTTGCCGACAGCTGGTTAGCAGCCAGACTATATAAGGAGCCTCGATGCCCTGACAAGATCATCTTTTCTCTCCCTTTGTGCTGGAGTGCCCCTGTGTAATAACAGGCGCCCGCCGCCCCAGCCCCGCCCGAAGGAGAAGGATCCTGCCGCTGCGACCAGCGCTCGGCAGTCACCCCAGCGCTCTCACGAGGCTCCCCGCTCTCACACAAAGACAAAACAGGCCGGCCGGAACCTTCTGGACCCGCGCCGCCTTTTTGCACCACAGCTGCGACCAGCGCTCGGCAGTCACCCCAGCGCTCTCACGAGGCTCCCCGCTCTCACACAAAGACAAAACAGGCCGGCCGGAACCTTCTGGACCCGCGCCGCCTTTTTGCACCACACTCTCTGTTTGGCATAAACAATGCCTTGCTCCTTGATGTCGTTTGATCCGCTCATGCTGGCTGTTCACAGACCTTGCCTCGAACGGTTGTTGGTTGGTTGGGGGTTGTTGCGGTGGGGGGTGGCCAGTGCAGCGGTGGGCACGCCGCCGTCGCTGAAGCCTCCACCACGTAATGGTGCAGGAGTCTACAACAAGGGGTGAATGGTGCACATCCAATTAGAAGCTGTCAGGTAATGCACATGTAAAGGTAAAGGTAAAGGTGGGGAAGAGCCTCCACAAGCTTAACTTCCCGGTTTTAACGTCTAGCTTTAGACCATTATTTGATCTGCCCGACGCGCCAAGTGCAGTACCCCCCACTAGTAGTGAATGGGTCCCGGGGAGGCCTGTGCCGAAGCCTTGGCGATTCTATTAGGCGTTCCCGAAGGAATTGGCTTGGATTGGCGCTGAGCCGGTCAGCTATGCCGCGTTTGTCCTCACAAAGTTTCGACATGAGAGGAATCGAACCTGTGCCCTCTCGGAGGGTTTAGACACTAGCTCCAGCGCCTTCAAAGAAGGCCTTTCTTAGCCGCGTACATGTGCACATTGTACAATGCCAATGGGCAAAAACATGTGTCGGTTCCTTGCCTGCGCCGCCAGTATGACTTTGAAGAAGACTTGCGGCATGCCATCCACATCCTGGTCAGGGGCTCCAGCTACTTGCATATTGATACAGATCTCAGCAAGTAATCACATCGGAGCCCTTGGTCCAGCGACAGCTGAAGTGAGGTAACGTCAGTTGCACCAGCCTCTCCCGCCACTGAGAGCAATGTGGAACTCTTTAAGTATTCACGCTTTGTGCTTGTGAACGTTGAGTTGTACAACGCGCTGCCAAGAAGAGGCTTGGCCGTTGGTTCGAGAAGTGGCAGGAGATCCCCCATGGGCGAAAGGTCAGTTTCAAGCGAAGCATTGCCTTCTCCGGGCCATGGCAAACGGAAATCTGAATGCTTCGAGTAGCTTGCTTGTGTGGGCTTAAAGTCTGGTAAAGCAAGAACTAGCTTGCAACATAGACTCCCCGCCGAAACGGGACGGGAACCGGGCGAAAGCAGAGAAAGCAATAAAACAGGGGTGGAGCAAGGCGACATGCAACGCAAGCAGCTGACAGGGCACGCATCGAAACGTGTGTATGACTGGCAAAGTGGCATGGCGCATTGGGGAGAAACGCAACGGTACGGGAGCATGGGCTGGCCAAACGGCAGTGCGGAACGCTAGGTCACTAGAAAAGCAGGGAAAGGCGCACTATCTATGCAATGAGGGCAGCCCCGGCTCGGGGCCGTTGAGAAAGCAGTGGGCGGGAGGGGGCGAGGCCCCGGTGTAGGCAGGCCCCATCGAGGGGGGATGGGGCGCGCAAGCGGCCAGATGGAGCAGGGCGCGGGCGGCAGTAGAGTCCTGCGGCTGGGTGGGATATAGGGCAATGAGCGTTGAGCAGTGTGCGATGAGCAATGAGCAATGAGCAGTGAGCAGCCCCTCCCTAAACAAAGTGAAGCGCAGGACGGGGTCCGGTGGATGGGAGGCAAGGAAACGCGGGGGGTTGCCACGTGCGCTACCGCCGCCGCCGCAGGCAGCACCCCTGCGGCGGCGGCAGCGGCAGCAAGCCGTGGACCCAAACGCCGTGCCGCCGCCGCCGCAGGCAGCACCCCTGCGACGGCGGCGGCAGCAAGCCGTGGACCGAAACACCGTGCCGCCGAGTCCCGTGGCTGTGGCCGTGGGCTTCTGGCAGGAAACTACGGCCGCAGCTCGGCAGCACGGGGGCGTCGCAGCGTGCCGCCGCCGCCGCCGCGCTGCCCCCCCCCCGGGCACGGCGGCGGCGGCAGCAAGCTTGGGCCCAAACGCCGTGCCGCCGAGTCCCGTGGCTGCGACCGTAGACCGTGGGCCGGAAACTGCGGCCGCAGCTCGGCGGCACGTGGTTCTGTTCAAATCGCCAAGCGTGCAGCAGCGCCGAACCACGCTTCCCGGCCTCGGCGCATGCCTTCAGGGGCCCCCTATCGCTGGGCACACCCCTCCAACACCGAACATGCGCCCGGGGGGAGGGCGGCCCGGGCTGCCCAGGCCAAAGTGGGCCGCCCTCGAGCAAGAGGCGGCCGGTCTGTGTGCTGAATGGTGTGGAGTGGATTACAAAAGTAGCCAAGGCGCCTCCATTTTGCGAAGTGGAATACTTTCCACCTTCACCCGGGTCTCCCAACCACAACCACATCCGGGGGGCACGACTTGGTTTATCTCTGAATGCCCTGCTAGGCGTGGCGTTGCTGGATCTCCAGTTCCCTATGCAAGGTAGGACCAACAGCGGGTGGGTGAGAGGGACCTACTTCCAAGTACCCTGACAACCCAAACTAAATTTGTGCACGCTTTGCAATCAACCGAGCAGGAGACAGTGATGGCAAGTGGAATATCACCGCCGCCGCCAATGATGGCAGCAAGTGCCGCCACAGTGCTAGCGTCGGCCTATGCAACCCAAACCGAGGTTGACCAATCAGGAGGGGGCAACCTTGAGCTACCACAAGAACCAAACACGACAGACCCCGTTGAGAGTCCCCATGATGATGGTGTGTTCCAATGCCAGGAAGAGGTACACGACCTAACATCACATGGCTTACATTATCAATCAAAGCGCATGCCAAAGCTTTCATAAATGCAAGCCATATAACCAACCTCTAGGGGGCGTTGGCCGCGGGTTGCACGGGCGCAACGGAGGCAGCAATGACTGCACAGCGGGCCATGCAAGATATGAACCCGTTGTTGCTTGGCACAGGGTCTCCATCTGTGTCCATCACAGTATTCTGAAACATGAAGACGATGGAGCCGGCACTTCTGATGTTGGAAGCCGCATTCAAGCTGGTGTGTTTCGGGTTGCATATCATGTGGCTTGCATGATTTAGTTGCATTCAGTGTGATGAGTGCGTAAGGACAAGCCATGTGATGCCTGCTTGGCACACCATATGCCGCAGGGTGAGAGGAAGGAGCTGCTGGCCGACTAGGGCGCCGTCTACACTGTGCCCACTGCACTGTGCCCACTCGAGGGCGGCCTCTTTGGCCTGGGCAGCCCGGGCCGCCCTCCCCCCGGGCGCATGTTCGGTGTTGGAGGGGTGTGCCCAGTGATAGGGGACCCTTGAAGGCATGCGCCGAGGCCGGGAAGCGTGGATCGGCGCTGCTGCACGCTTGACGATTTGAACAGAACCCCGCGCCGCCGAGCTGCGGCCGTAGTTTCCTGCCAGAAGCCCACGGCCGCAGCCTGGGGACGCGGCGGCGCGGCGTTTGGGCCCACGACCTGTTGCCGCCCCCGCCGCAGGGGTGCCAGCTCTGCGGCGGCGGCGGCGACACGCGACAGCCGCCGCCGCCGCCGCTTGCCGGCGGCACGGTGCAGCAGCAGCAGCAGCAACCACCACCGCCGCCCGACGGCGGCAGGAGGGAGCAGCAGCAGCAGCAGCCACCGCCGCCGCCTGACGGCGGCGGCGAGCAGCCACCACGTGCGCACGCC